TCAAGATCAATTTACTACCTTGTTTAAATTAAAAACAAGAACAAAATCAAACAAGATATATGAAGCACGAGAAATTCTGGACCTATGTTCTAATCAACAATCTTACAAAATCCTGTACTGACTTACGTTCTACAAACATACTTTAAATTAGTGTCTGATTAATATATTATTTTTGACGTTTGGTTGGAGCACAAAATTAAAAAAAATTGTATGACTGATTTATACATTTTTACTGTCCAATCACCCTCTAAGCCATATAAAACAATAAGAGACGATAAAATACGATAACATAAGAATTACCAAAATAACTTTTCACCACTGCAAACCAGACCAGGTTTTAAAAAACAAAACAAGAACAACTAAACATCAGTCAAAATTATTTTCTATAAATTAACAACGCGACCGTAGGCTAGTCCAACTTGTTGACAAGCTCTTTTTTGTAGCTCTCGAGCCCGCACGCACATACAAATACTGATGATAACAGCTATGACTAAGACGACCAGTAGGATTGATACAGTAACGATCATTTTTGTAGGGGTCAGACAGACCTGATCAATGTTGTTGTAGACAGACACTAAGGAGAAAAAAAAGAACACTTTTGTTGCTAAAACTGGCATAAATAAATCTTTGATATTTGGATTATTTTTTACATAATAATTTTTTTAATAACTGATGCTGAATCCAAATACAAATAAAAAAACAACAAATAGTTATGTAAGTGGTCGTTTAATTTTTATTATCTAAATTAATAGTGGACATTCTGAATAAAGTTACTTTTTACAAAGATGTAGCTTATATAACCAGTAACATAGGCGCATGTCCGGTAACGTGGAATATTAAGCTTAGTGACTAAAATACGTCATTGCTCATTGGACAGTAATAAGTCATTCCTTTATGTTATTCTAACTTTATGCGAGTCTGATTAGGGGTAAGTATGCCAGACTGTGGATCCGTGGTTCGCACCCCGTTATCGACAAAAATAAATAAAATCGCGCCCCGCACTTTAGGGCTGTGGGTGCGTTATATGAGTGACTGTCAAATCCCATTATTAGATTAGATTAGCTCAGAAACTGCAATTCAGTGATGTTTACAAGCTCCCTGTAGTCTATCACGTTAAAATTAGGAACTGCTATACGCACGAATACTATTAAACAATCAAAAACATACATCATGTAGTTTGTTTGTTTTAGTGCAAAGCTACACAATAGGCTTACAGTACCTTGAAAAAGTATGCACCCCTTCCCCCTGCAAAGTTTCCGCATTTTGTTGCCATCTGAGCTTGTAATCATGAAACTTTAAAATTGGACTTTATATTTAGAATCTACACGATCTAATTCAAACTGAGAAAGTTGAAAAAATGCTGATATTATCAAAGAATATAGAATATTCTCAATTGCATAAGTATTTAACCCCTTTGCTA